CAGTCCAGACCTCAGTACGTGTTCTTTGGGGAAAACTAGCTGTGCATCTGAAGCCCCTCAAGTTTTCAACTCATCCCTCTATCAACACAACACTAAGGGCTTTGTTGGTTTCACTTTACCCCATCAGATAGCCTCTTCCTGGGCAAGGCTCAATCCTCATCTTATGCCTAGAATGAGCAAATGGCTACAGGGAATATGATGGCTAGTTCACTTGGGACAGTTCTACCTTCTCTCCTGAACTTTAAATTCATCTAGTCCTGGTTGCTGCCACAGTTCTCTGTTACATCTAAAAATAAGACACCACCTTCAGAAATCATTCTGAGCTCAGACTAGCTCTTGATCTGGTAGATACTTGGATTGTCAAACTCCTTTACTCCCTCCGCAGATATCCTAACTCTAAGTCACTCTCCCAGACAACCTATAGGAACTAACTCTGCTAATTGGGGGAGGAAAAGGAAACACCATCTTCAGGTTGGCACAAATGTTTCCATTTGTGGAAGATCCCTAACATTCAAAATATCCTCAGCCTGTCTCCTAACTCCATAAATATTTTCTGAGATCCTGTTGAATGCAATATCCATCCCACTACCCAATCCCAACACCTAACTTGTAATTGTGACTCAGAACTACTGTAATCAATAACTAAGATCCCTGAAAACAAGAACTAAGTTAGGACTGTAGGCCATAGTTTTGAGAATCAGTTGGCCTGGAGTTAAGACTTTTCCTCTTAAGATCCTGGTATACAGGTCTACAGTAATCTTCATGGCTCTTTCAGTTGCTTAATATTCTTACCTGATGTTCTCATCATAACTTATCACTTTCAGGACGGCTGTGGAAGCTGTAGTGAAGGGAAATTAGCTCAGGAGTAGTCGAAATGTCCGTGAAAACCAACTTTTGGTTTTAAAATATCTTACAGCATTTGGACCTTGGGTCTTCTCACCTCTGACAAAGAACCTTCCCTCCCCCCTAGGAAGTCAATAAAAAGAAAAAACTCTCAAGACAGGAGTCTCCTTCAGAGCACAACTAAGTACCTGAAGAATTTTAACTGGTAGGAGAGCAAGGAGAAGCTCATCTTCAGCCAGTGTAAGTGCTCTGGAGCCAGGAAATGGGTTAGACAAAGGGAGGTGGTACTCCAGACCTGCACATGTGCTGCTGGATGAACAGTGTCCAGATAGGCCAGAGAGGTGGGTAAGGAGAGAGACTCACTATGTCCCTGAAACACGTGTATCATGGGTAATTGCAGGGGAGGAGGGGGGTATGGAAGGGACACACAACAGATCCCAAGCCAAGTGGATCAGAAAGAAATGTGTTAGAAAGCACATGCCAATGCAAGTCTGGGCTTTCATAGAATTCTGGTGCCATTTTGTTGTTTCAGTGACCAAGGGACATGATGTGACCACTCTGCAAGAGAAGAATCCACATCACATCCACCACTCTACCTCTAGTCTGCAGGCAGTCTCTTGACCTGCTATTGAGGTTTGAGGTTAACTGTTTTGGTCCAGTTCTACTATCACAGTCTTCTTTATTCGTCCTTCTACTTTATATCTAGACTTCTTTCATCAACTCTCCCTATTTTTCTCACCCTCTAGTCACGCCCACAGTGTCATTCTCTTCTCTCTCTTAAGGAAATTTAACTCAGTTGAATCTTTAGTGCAGCATACATAGGGGAGCCTAGTTGTGTTGTTTTAGGAAATGCCCAGAAACCAGCTATGTTAAAATCCCGTGAAATAAAGGGATGAAAAACAAAAATCACATTACAATCATGGCCCTGAAAAAAGCCATCTGAGGTGAGTGACTTGCTGTCAGAATGAAGTATATAGTCTATTTTCATATATAATGTAGTATGTATCTACATTATACATGAATGATAAGTAGGGAGGGTCCACGATAGTGGTCCTCATCCCTCTTTGTATATTACAATTATCTGGGAGCTTAAAAAAATACAGATGCCTGGACTTCATACCAGAGATTTTCATTTAATTGGGGTGGAGGTAGTAGCCTGAGCATCAATATTTTTATAAAATCTGCACAGGTGATATGAATGTGCAGCCAGGGATGAAAACCATTAGTCTAGGCTCTCAGCTAATCCAGCACAGGATGATAGCTGAGTGTGCAGTTTACAGAAGTGCTGCAAATCAAATCACTAAGTTTGCATTCCTCTAGTTAATGCTGGCATAGCCTGGAACAAAACGAAGAGGAAAAGTGGCAGACGGAAAGACGACATCATTTGTGTCGCTACACCTATGACTTCTCTCTTTATTTACATTTACTAAAGAATTTACATTCTTTAGGTCCTGAGACTACTGAGGCAGATAGATCTTGATAATACAATCAATAATCAATGAAGAACTCAAATATTATTGCTGTATAATACTTTTATTCAACAGTTTTATGGAAAAAAACACAATTCTGTATGTGTTACATCACATAGTTTTCAGACAAGTCAGAGTCCAGTGACAAATTACACTTGGAGAAAACCTTTAAAATCCATTCTTGTATGCCACTCCTTCGTGAAATATTGAATAGCAGCTCTGTACCTCAGCACTAAAGGTTGCAAAAAGCACCATTTAAAGGAAGACTCTCACATATTTAATTCCCCTCAAATTAGAGTCTCATTCCCCCTTTATGACAGAGCTGCACTCATTCAAAATGCTTCAGTGTAATAACAACCAACATCTCCCAATTTACCAAAATTCAAACAAGTCTCACATATGGGGCCCAGTGTGGAGATTAGGACTAATCAACATCAGTGAGCTTTGGCTGTTCTAAACTCACACCCTGGGTAAGGTAAGTGTTCTGTAGATGGAAACAGAAAAGAAAATGATCAATATGTAATGTAATACTTACAGTAGGTATCCCTCAACTATTTAACTTGACTACAGAATCCAGAGCGTTTAGTATCTCACATCAATCTTGCTGCAAAACCACTGTGCTACACACAATTAGTTCAACTCCAACTAATGTTGAAACTAACAAAAAATTTAATTTTTAACAAAACTTATTCACTTCAAAGCACAATCAAGAAAAGCAAATCAAGACAAAGCCCACACTTGAATCCTAGAGGGATTCCATTGCTAAGACTTGGATTTCATAAGTATCGGACTCTTGAGTTTTTTTCCTTTCTTTCTTTTTTCTTATAACTTTAAAACAGATTTGGCCTTTTTACTCCAAGTTTGGGTTCATTGCAGAAATCACAGCCCTTCGACCTCCAACTGTGATTGGTGCTTAAGAAGAGACATATGCCTAGATCCAGAGTTTTAAAAGACCCTAACTCCTACCCCTCCCAGGTGCTCCATCCCATGGGTAATTGGAGTCAGCAGCCCCTGGCAGAAGACAGCAAGAACTTGGCTTTAAGGATGAGTCAGAACAATGTAAGAAGAAACTGAGTATCTTCTCAAGCTCATGCCCCAAATCACTAGAACGTGAGGATTTAGAAATCTCTGAGAATAGAATGTATTTCAAACACACACAACATAGACTATTGCATATCATTTTTAGTTGAGGTCAAAATTTTAAAAGCCCTATTTCCCCAATTAAAAGCAGGGGATTCTATCTTGAGTATGTCTCCTTCATTTATACCCAAAATTAATATAAGCCCAGTCTGGAGGTATCACTTCTTTCCAAACTTAACTTCATTTTAGCAGCATACATGGAATACCAACACTTTTCAAAGGTTTTAGCTCAGATCCATTAGGTCTGTAAGAGACTAGAAATAATGAGGGGGAAGTGAGCAGGCCTGGGTTTCTAGGATCCTCTCAGAAACTTCTCTTGGATTCTTCTTTTATAGGAGAGAATTGTTAAAAAGCCAACATTGTTAGAAAAAAGCCAACACTATTGAGGCCATGTATGCCTTTCATGGGTGTTGCCTACAATGATTAAATCCCATTCAATGGAAAGCTTAAAGCAAGCTAATAACCATGAGGCAGAAGCTCTCCATACCAGCAAGAGCACTAACACTTGTTTTAGGTAACGTTTGACTTGACGCCCGGGTAAAGTCTGCCTGGCAAATTTAAAGTTAAAAGTTAGAGTTAATGCAGCATATAGAAGAAACGGAAGAAAATAGGAACAAGAGAGAAAAGGAAGATGTTTTATACAGTAAGTTCTGTCTGATTTATTTTTAAAAAAAGGATATTCTTAGTTCTGAGTTATTTAAGCCTTTATTTTCCAGGTATCACTCCTCAGCTCAGCCACTCTTCTTTTTCCCACAACCCCAAAACCATGATGCAGTTCTTTAAGGATCAGCCCTCCCGAAGAGCTTTTTTCTTACTCTGCTAACTCTAACTCTGTGAAACGCCTATAGGCAAAAAAAAAAAAGCTAAAATAAATGTTTTGCCTTTATTCATTGTCAAAATCTGCCAGACTCTCTTCTGCAGCAAATACACTATCCCTTTAACCAATATAAAAGAATGAATAAGTTGTACTTTGGGCCACCTGCCTTCCTCCCTCTCTACCTTCTAGAACGGTTTCTTGGGGACAGAGTGTGATAGGGCTCCTCAGGGCCACAGGAAGTATTATCAGTACAGAGAAGGGACAGTGCTGAATGAGTCATCACCCAGTTCCTCTTACCCATCCCATACCAGCTGGTAGGCTTCCATTTCACATCTGGCTGAGAGATTACCTCAGAACTAGGGAAAGTGACACTCTCTGCACCTTTCCAGATTAGAAAGATCTGAAGGTCACCAGCACCCAAATCTACTGTCATTGGAGCCAGAGCCAGTTCACAGAAGCCTCTGGCCTGAGAGAAATGGAAAGGATCTCTTTTCCTGCCCCACTCTATTGATACATTTGTGTGGAGTAAAAATTTTAATACATGAACACATAATTATATTTCAATACTGTTGTCAAGAAATATGAGTACAACAAAATCCTCCATTAACAACCAAGATTTTGAATCCTCCTAAGTGGCCCACTTATTTCATGGGTATTCTAAATTCTAATATAACTGAAGACAATGTCAATCCTGAGAGTTGGTTATAATAGGTTTTGGCCTAGATTTTTCAAATGGCACACCATTCAAAAATTGGTTGGGACCATAAAAGGTTCTCCACAAAAGGCTTTTGCTGCAGAAGGTGGCCTTGAGTACTAAAGCAGTATTATTTTCAGCAATTAACCACCAAAGCACTTAGCAATTTGCATTCCCAGCAAAACCACAACCCCATATCCTATTACCTCACACCCAGGGTCTAAGAGGTCTATATACGAAGACAATTGTGTCATCAGCTTCGCATGGGAAAGACAGGAGGTAGCTAAACTGACCTGTAGGTGCCCTTTCAATGTGGCTGGGCTCATCTTAGCAGTCCAAGAGTCTCTTAAGCATCAAGTTTGAGATTCCTTCAGTTCAAAATTCCTCGAGTTTTGAATGTTTGACCTGCATTTATCTGTAATGGAACAGCCACAGATACTTGGAACAGCCACAGATACTTGGAAAAAAATGTTTTCTCTCTGAACCCCAAGAGTGGATTGAATAGCTACTTTTCATTCCATAAATGGAAATTACTGACTCCACTTCATCATCAAACACTTTTTTAAAAAAGAGGCAGAACAAAATGATCCTATTAGCACTTAGCGCAGGGAAGCAATATTTTTCATTTTGGGAACACCAAGGGTACTTTCTTGTTTCTTGGCCTAATGAATCTTTAAGTTGAGAGAACCTTTTAGGTGCATCAAATGAGCCTGAATGAATCCATATCTAGAGCAGTGTTTACTGTAATGATGTACACAGGGTTGGCCACATTAATGTAAGATCATATAGAACTAGACTAGGGAAGAAAGTCTCGGGAACCATTTATCAAGAGGCTTAAGTTTTCCTATGCAGTCTCTTAAAGACCAATGAAAAAGCATTTTTTAATTAAAGAAAAATGTTGACACATAAAAATCTTCCAAGGATAAAAGATACAAAAGTTTTCGCTGGTTCCACTCCCACCTTCAAAGCTGTCTGCTCTGCAAAAGAAAATATGGAAGCAGGGCCAGGCCAGGTGGGAAAACTTATGGGAATGTGCCAATACAGCCTAAGCTGTGGCACCAAACTAAAACAAGTAGACCTTGTGCATTCTGCGTCTCTTATAATGCTGAGCCATATTTTCTTTAGCAGAAGTTAAAACAAGCAGTAACCAAATGGCCAGCGCCTGTGCTAGGCTAAACAGGAAACTGTCTAGTAGCCCTAGTCTCTGAGGTGGGTCAGGTCTCACACAGCCTTTGAAAGGCGTCACTTACCCAATACATTTTGTGTTAGGGAAGGTTTGAGTATAGGATTTGAAGGAGGTTATCAAAGCAAGAATGTGAAATGAGGGGAAAAAGGGTTCTTGTGGAGCATCTGGTATCATATAAAAAACACAGATTGTGCCACATACTCTAGGAACACAGAGAACCCATGCAAGAAAAGCTGCCTTGCAAGGAGGCAGCTATAAGTAGGGCAGCAGTCTGGCACAAGTCCATCCCTTGGAACGCCAAGGTAGCAGTGACAGAATCTCCACCCAACAGGGATCCTGAGAGTTTGCTCTTCATTCATTTTAGGAAAAAAGCTTCCTGTAATGGTTCTTCCTGCAGCTCCCTTAAACACGTCTTGTTGAGTCCCCACAGGCAGAGAGAATACATCTAGATAGGAGGCTTCCATTAACCTTCCTCTCATATGCGTATATATATATATTTTTTTTCTTAAAATGAATTCCATGAACTCATAAGGCTCTCATCTGCAATAAAATGCAAAAGCAGAGCATCCTACTCAGAGGCTCTGAAACACACATATCAGCCTCAAAGCACATCGGCCTTCCAGTCTCAGGTAAGACTGGTCCAGTCCAGAAAGGCAAGGGAGATGCTTCTCCTGAATCCTGGGAGGCAGGAGGGGATCCCTTCAGATGGGCTTGTATAGCAGAGTGGTGACATACTTCTTCTTATAGCGATGGGTTGCACTAAGGACCATCACACTGTCCTGCAAGGGGAAGAAACATATGCAGCTAATTCAGTAGCTCAGGCGGTAGGCAGCTCTTCCAGCTATTAGTCCTTCACAGTCACTCACTTTGAACAGAGATAGTTTGATATTATAGAAAGAGGTTGGTTTTGGAGTCAAAGCAACATAAGTTCCAATTCTGACTCCTACTCTTACTCTATTTGTGGCCCTGAGTAATCTACTTAATGTCTGTCTTTTTTCTTATCATTACAAAGGATAATACCTGCCATTAAGGTGGCTCTGATGATTACATGAGAATATCTGGCACAGTATCTGATACATAATAGGTGCCTAAGAAATATTAGTCTCCTACCTCATTCCCTTCTGCACTTTAAATTAGAATACTTGACTTAAAACTAGCACAGAAGAGAAATATCCTGGCATCCATTTTTACAACAAAGTCTTGAATAAGAAAGAACAGTGATCCTTTTGAAAAACCATTTCCAAACACTGAAGCAAGTCTAATTTCCATTTAATACCAGGGGTGAACTTAGAAAAGTCCTCTCTGATCAAGAGAGGACTCAGGAATCCCCCTCTATCCTTAAACAAAGTGGACCCCAAAATACTCCTTGGAAAGACACTCAATCCAATGGATCAATTCCAAACAGTGTAAACAATCTGAGAGAACCAGGAATGAGTCAAGGCCAAGCTGAATCACAGCAATCAACACACTGACCTGAGTCAAAACCAGTATAAAAATTAAGAGGTACCATTTCCCAGGCTGTGTTACAGACCATGGGTATACCATAGGAGGAGAGACGGCAGGCCTGTGGACATCAACTGATAGCCAAAGAGCAGTTACAGGAGTCAAAATTCAGTTAGATCCCAAAGAACCCAAACAAATCCAATTGAGAAACCAGCGCATGTTCCTATTTTCTCCTATACTGTATTATCCACAATGACTGTTTCTCAGATTAACATTCTGTGACCAGAGTATGCTGATCATAGCCCAAACATGATAGAAGTAAGGCAGGTAAAAAATTCAACTCCAGGAAGGGTCTGGTAGAAATGAGGAGCAGGTGAGAGAAAGACCTACTTGGAAAGACCTGGCACAATGATCTCTAGGAAAGAACATGGAATGAGGACAAGGGGACTGGACCTCAGTCCTCTCTATGGTACTTACTGGCAATTTGACCTTCTCTGAGCCTTAGTTTCTTTATCTATAAAACAGGAGTTAAAAATAATACTTACCTCACAAGGTTATTATAAAAATTAAATTCAGTAACATTTTTAAAAAGTACCACATAATCTGTTAAAGCTGTATCAGGGACTTCCCTAATCTGGCTGCACATCTAAGAAATATAAGCAGCTTTAAAAAAATTACTGGGCCCCTCCTACATGCACTTACTCAGAATCTCTGGGGACAGAGCCTCTGATTCTGTATTTTTACAAACTTCCCCAGGTGATTCTGATGATGATCAGCCTAGTTTGGTAACTATAGAGCTATATAAAACTTTATTTCAACAGCCAAACCACAAAGACATGACAAGACTGATTGGATATTTTCAACCCAGACTCTAAAGCAGCAGAGAAAACAAGAAGGACTCTAAGAGTTGGAGGGGCTAGGGCAAATCTGGCCACATTTCTCCTTTACCCAGTGTATAGGAGAGATACAATCACTTGGGTGTATGTGACTGACGCACCTGAAAGCAGCTCGTGTCCACCTTTAAAAAAGTAGAAGCCTTACTATCACGTTCAAGCATTCTTTGAACTGGAAGCTAAACTTGCTTTTTCTGCGAATGAAATTCTAGTGCTATGAACTCAAATTTAAGTAGGTGGTACAAAGGTTATATGTACCCAAAAAGAAACCAGAAAGCAAAAACGTCCATTCAGTCACAGGGCAATTCAGCTAGCCAGAACATAGATATAGAGACTAAGATTTAAAACAGACAAAAAATCCAATCACTAGTTAAAAAAAAGAAAGTTCTTCTCCTATCATTTGACCATTACTGCCGCTTCAGCTTCAGCGAAGTAGCAGAGCAAGTAAACCACTGGAGAACATGTGTCACCTTTGTCTTCCCATTTTGGGGAGCTCTATGAAGAGCCAGGTCTACCACTTACCTTAATGGACAATGCATAGAGATGGTTCAGCATAACATGATTGGGCTCAGGGAGCAAGGCTGGGTCACACTAAGAAAAAAAAAATCACTAAATGGGATTAAATGCATAGTCTTAAATCAGACAGTTTACTCTTCTTCAGAGCTCTTCAGGACTATTGAGAAACTCTAAACTAGAATGTATTATTTCTTTTAAATAATGCACTCACTCTAGTATATATCAATAATACATTCTCATTACAGAGAATTAGGAAAATTCTGAGTCCAGGGCAGATACCCTAAGCCTCAGCATCTATTCATCTTCCTTAGTAGAGCTAAAACAAAAATCTTGCCCACAACACATACAGAAGATTTGTGTTAAGAGGTAAAATCATCTTAGTGGTAATCAAGTGAATTGACTAGAGATGTAAATTATATGCAAAAAAAAAAACCCCTTATACTTCTTTTGTATATCTCCAAATGATATATATTCCTTATCTTGTGTTGTAATAGAAGTCCCAGAAATTGATTCTAGCAATCCACAGCTCTGGGCCTGATTTATTAGGACTAGAAGACAACTATGAATTTTGATATCAGTACTTGGAAAAAGGAATCTGTAACACTACTGAGATGAATATGATTTATACTCTCAAACACATCTTTGTAATAATCTCAAACTCCAGGATTACTAAACTTTGGCTCAAATGGTCCCAGTGATCCCCAGATGTCCCAGCAGTACTCTCAGGATACTCACAGAAATATTCGTGTCCTTGTTAAGAATCACTTGGAGAAGGTGAGGAGGGAGGATAGGTGGGGATTTGAATCTCTCCTCGGATCGAAACACATACATTTCTTGACCATAAGGCCCTGGGGGTGAGCTGGAAAGGTCTGGAAGATATTTATCCAGATGTAAGGGAAAGTTGGAGCACTAGTAAAAATGCATGAAAATACTGTCAATACATGGCAGCTAACATTAAATATGGTAGAAGTCATGGATCATAAACTTGTGACCTGTTGGTTCTACAACTGTAAGGTAGACAAAGTAAAAGTATGAGTCATCGTGAACATAAACCATGAAGTTCCTCAATATGGCAACATGATGTGGAGGATAGAGGAGAAGATTAGGGGTAAAAGACGTAGGTTAGGGGGAGAGCTACTCCATTTATCGGTTGTATGACCTGGGACAAATCCCTCCACTACGGTCAGTTTGCTCACTCATAAAATAAAAACAATAATCTCTGACCTATTTCACCATGTTTTTATAGGAATTAAATGAGATAATGGATGTGACAATGTCTTGTAAACTGTCAAACAATATGAAAAGATTAGATTTCTTCTTTTTTCCACCCAAGCAACAGACAACAAGGTTATAAAACTCTAAGACTACAGTCACGCACTGCATAACGACATTTTGGTCATTGATGGACTGCATATATGACGGCGGTCCCATAAGATTAGTACCATATAGCCTAGATGTGTAGTAGGCTATACCATCTAGGTTTGTGTAGGTACACTCTATGATGTTTGCACACTCTATGATGAAATTGCCCATTGACACATTTCTCAGAACATATGCCCATCATTAAGTGACACATAACTGTACTGATACTACAATGATTGCATCGATGAGGACAAAATTACTAACAACGTAGTTGTCATTAGGGAAATGCAAATCAAAACCACAATAAGATACCACTTCACACTCATTAAGATAGCTATAATAAAAGACAGACAGTAATTGTTGGCACGGATGTGGAGAAATCGAAACTTTTGTACTATTCCCATTGCTGGTGGGAACGTAAAACGGTGCAGCCACTTTGGAGAATAGTTTGGCAGTTCCTCCAAAAGCTAAACATAAAGTTACCACATGACCCAGCAATTACACTCCTGGGTATATATGTCCACACAAAAACTTGAACACAAATGTTCATATCAGCATTATTTATAATAGACAAAAGGTGGAATCAATCCAAATGCCTATCAACTAATGAATGGATAAATAAAATGGTACATCCATACAATGGAATTTTATTCAGCCATAAAAAGGAATTAAGTACTGATATATATTACAACATGGATGAACCCTGAAAACATTATGTTAAATGAAAGAAGCCAGACACAAAGGCCACATATTGCATGATCCCATTTATATAAAATGTCCCAAATAGGCATATCCACAGAGACACAAAGTAGATTTGTGGTTGCCAGGGGGACAGGGGAAGAGGGAATGGGAAGTGACCGCTAATGGGTATGGGGTTTCTTTTTGGGGTTATGAAAATACTCTGGAATTAGATAGTTGTGATGGCTGCACAACTCTGTAAATATACTAAAAATTACTGAATTGTACACTTTAAAAGGGTGAATTTTGTGCTTTGTGATATATCTAAAAAATGGAAAAAATGTATGCAGACAAGAGAATATACAGAAATGAAGAGAACTATACTTTTTTGCTTAAAAATGTTTAATAATGTTTTTATAGTCTCTAGTAAAAAAGATTTCAATTACCAATTCAGTATAAGAACTCAGATTTCAGTTAAATATACGTGAGGCAAAAGAGTAGTAATAATACTGTTCTATTAAACAATATCTTAAAAATACACAGAACTTGAAACTTCAAAGTACTCAGTTATTTTATCACATGATCTGCAAAACACCCTTAGGAAGTACATAGAACAGCTTTTATTTTCTTTTCATCAGGGAAAAAAAAAGTGGTTAAGTAATTTGCCCAAATTAAACCTTACCTCAGGGGCCTTAGATTTGCCAAATCTAAACCTTACCTCAGTGGGTCAAGAAATTGTGTAAAAGAGGGGAGAGAGAAATATCAAAAGTATGCTAGTCTTCTAATTATGATTATCTATTCATTAGTCGCTTTGCCAGAATCATATAATACAAAAATTCAGAGTCACAAGTGGCCTCATCATTTAATTCAATATTTTTAAACCCTTTTTAATCACTGCCCCACCAGTCAAGAAGAATGTCCAGCTTTACTTTCTGAGCTTATATAATGAACACAATATTTTTAAAATTTTCTTAAACAGACAATTATTATACTATTGATGATTCTTTTAGAAACTGCATAAGCCTTGGCCCTGAGATTCTAATATGCCCCACTTAAGGTATTGTGTCTCCTCAGCTGAGAATCACTGCGAGTCTAAACCTCTGATTTTACTGAAAAGGAACTGAGAAACAAAAAGGTTGAAGGACTTGTCCATAATGGCAAAGCTATTCAGCGGCAGAGGAAGGCTCTGAACCCATAGTGGGGAAGTGTGCTCACTGGGAACACAGTGCACAGTTCTTTAGACAGTCACAGCCTTTACTGTAAAGTAACAAAATGGTAACTGTGAGTGCAGTTAGCAAATCACTCTTCTGGTGCTGTAGCATATGTAGTAAGGACAAAGGCCTTGGAAAAAATAATACTGGGAGAAACAAAAGGATACAGATCTTTTCCTCTACCAAGGATTTTTTTTTTACCAAAACTTACAAAATTTCATTTAACATACACACAAAAGAACTGTGAGGTTTTTTTTCCCCAAAGACTGCCACACTTGTAGGGCCCTATAAAATTGCAGAACTGACAACTGAGCTATCAAACTAGCAGGATTAAGCTGAGGCAGCTACGCAAGGCAAACCAGACACAACCAGCCTCTGCTGGGTGATACTGCCACAGGTCAGTGAAAAACCTGAAATATTGCTAGAAATAGCTTTTTAAACTATAGACCATAGCCCATTAGCGGCTTATAAAAGAAAGGATAAAATAGAAAATAAGAGTGCATCACATGTAATAAAGGTAGACATTGTGCCTGAGACTTGTGTTACAGTTTTGTGTGTGTGTATTGAGTTACAATGTAAAACTAATATCTTACTTAGATCCTGGTTAGAAAGTCTGAAATCAAATATACTAGAGTGAGATGTTTTTTGTCCTAGAGAAATTGACCTAAATGTTTTACAGGAGAAACATATATATATAGATTCCCAAGATTCCTGAGGATAAAATGAAAAAACAAATACCACTCTTGGGAAGGAACATGCATTATAAGAAAAACACAACAAAAGAGAGCAAATACTACAAAATTACCTCGACAAGATGTCTCTGAGCTTTCCATTGAATCTAGCTTTAAAGCATGAAACACCTCAAAATCAGATTTCTTGACATGGATCAAATTGTTAATCGTGCCAAGCTGACTGGTAACCACCGGCTGAAACAGTGAATGGAAAAAATTCATGAATCCCCATTTCAAATCCATCTCTTCCATCCAACTCTCCTCTTTTTAAAAATGATGATAGTTGGGGGGCCAGCCTGGTGGCATTGTGGTTAAGTTCGCGTGCTCTGCTTCAGCGGCCTGGGGGTTCATGGGTTCAGATCCTGGGCACAGACCTAAATTCCACTCATCAAGCCATGGTATGGCAGCAAGCCATATACAAAGTAGAGGAAGACTGGCATAGATGTTAGCTAAGAGACCATCTTCCTCAAGCAAAAAGAGGAAGATTGGCAACAGATAGCTCAGGGCCAATCTTCCCCACCAAAAAAAAGAAAGAAAGAAAGAAAGAAAGAAAAAGATGATACTCGGCACCTCCACCTTTTATCAAGAGAGAAATACTCCAGTGCAAGAGTCCATCAATCCTCACAGCAATGACATTTGACACCAAGAGGAATAATAACTAAAAGAAGACTGGTTAAGTCAATGATTACCCTTGGAGATCAAAGCCTTACCTCTGATGGATCATGAACCCACTGTCCATCCACAAAGAACTTGTACTGGTGCTCTCCCTCAGGGAGGTCCAAGATGGCAACAAAGTCATTATGGCTACAGAAGAAGACAGAAAGTTAAATAGGCCAAGTTCCTATCAGAAGACAATGCAAATGTAAAAAGCATGAGGCAATCACAGTATCATGCCAATGATCTCCCACACTCCTAAGCAATTGTACCCCCTGGAGCAAAAAATAATTTATAAACCCATTCTCCTTTTCTATATCACCTTTAGCATGTATTTGCCAGCCCCTCTCAATAACTTTAATTCTTAACTTATATCTAAAAAAGAATAATAAAGATGTTAATCCCCAAAAATGGTTCACCTTAGTACAACTACTTTGCTACAGCAGAACAGATCCCTCATAAGTGTAAATAAGATAGCAGGCAGGTTTAGGATACAGAAGTGTCTCAAGGTATCCTTTCCATATTTTGATGAGCATTTTCTGGAAAATTACCTACATACAAAGGGCTATTGACAACCAGTTAAATAATTCATTATTGCTCTGCAAGCAACAAATAACATTACTACCGAGAACTTCACAATATGTTTTGTTTTAGTGCAGAAGTCAGAGCAACTGGACTCAGCGAGTTACAGAACACTTCCCATAATCACAGAAAGGACCTGTATTAACAGAGTCCTAAGGAATGTACCCACAAAGCTGTTATAATAAGTCCCTCTGAGGCAATGATATTCTAAGTGGTAAAACATCTCTGACTATGACTTTAAAAAAAATGTTACACATATAGTTATTGGTCACAGAAAATGTTCTAGAGAGTCCCTAGCAGGTGGAAAGGTATAGTCCAACCAGGTCTCTCTCCTGAGAAAGAAAATCAGATCTCTACTCCTGGACCCTGTAGACTAAACCAAGACACTTGTCTTCACCTCTTAATCAGTGGAATCTTGGTGCTCCAATTGTTGAAGGACCCAGAGATGAAGACCTCCTTGCCTCCTTCAGACCAGCGGATAACAGTGGGCCGGGCCTGCTGTGTAGGCTTTACGGAGTCCTCCAAATCCTGCTGCCATGATACAAACTCTTTGTCCCCAGGGAGCTGTAAGAAGGATTAAGTCATCCCTAAATTGTGACCCAGGAATTCTTAAAAGGTCACTCCCCTCCCTAGGGCAGAGACAGGTGCTAGGTTTCTGCTAATGATCAATAATCCCAGAAATTAGCAGCTACGCGTGCTAGGTTTCTGCTAAGGATCAATAAGCTCAGAAATTAGCAACTACATCAGGTTTTGATCTGTAGAAAAAGAACTTATCTAGGACCAAAATGGTCAAATGGCTTATGCTCAAGGGCTGCCCAAATTACAGCCTAACTTCCAAGTCTGCAAACATCACTCACTCTTTCAGAGCCTTAGGATCTCCCTTAAAAAAAAGCTTACTCCCTGTTACCAGATTAACTCATAGGCAGGCATTTATGATATGCTTCTGAGTGCCACTTAAGAAAAAAAAATGAAAAGAAAGTATGGTTCTATAAAAAATAAGTTATCCATGTATTTTCCATATGCAAATATGAACAGCTCTCAACTATCAGTTGTAATGGAAGTTAGAGACACTGAAATTCATAATTCATAAACTCCATTTTAGCTAACAGCTTACAAAAGGAAATTAAAAATATAAAAATCAGATCCTTGGTTTCTTAAATTTTGAGAAGTGGTTATAAAATCTTACTTGCTCACCTATGCCAGGTTTATACTAATAATTTCAGGAGTAGGGATGAAAATCGGGAGCCTGAAGGAGCATGACATCAAAAACACAGCTTCAACAAAAGCAGTTCCAATATCAAATGAGGTCTGTAGGATTCTGAAAAAAACTGACTCCTTACTTAGTTTCTTTTCATTACCATCCTTTAGAACAGGAGTTGATGAACTATGGCCAGAGAGCCAGATGCTTTTATAAATAAAGTTTTATTGGAAAATAGCCACATTCATTCTTTTATTTATTATCTACAGCTGCTTTCATGCTACAGTAGCAGAACTGAGTAGCTGTGACAGAGACTGTATGGTCTGCAAAGTCTAAAATACTTACTATCTGGCCCTTTACAGAAAAAGTTTGCTGATCCCCACTTTAGATTGGCTAAAATGACTCTGCTAAATAAGACTGTGTACAATATCAAGTCAAAATATTACCAAATAAAATAATGAAGGTTAAAAAAAAGGGGGCTAGCTTCTTCATTTGGGCTTTATTTTCAAAATGGCTGAGGTAATCTACCTTCCATATTGTCTCTCAATATCCCTCAAAACTACACTATGAGACATCAGTAGCAGCATAATCCAAAGTACACGGAGAAAGAGAATTGAAGGGACTTTCACATTATGTAAGGAAGCGGCTTAAGAGAAAACCTTGACCTCCATATTCTTAAAGCAATGCAAGAGGCTTGACTGGCTCCATTAGAATTACAGAAATTTTCACATATGCCTAAGAATAACCCTCAGATTCTGATTTGGATATAGGACCTGGGAATCTATTTTTAAAAAGTTTCTCAGAAAAATAATACTGTGATTATTTTAAAATAAACAAAGAAAGAAACCTCATCTTTAGAGATATATCCTAAAATATTTATAGGTAAAATAATATTCAATGTCTGGAATTTGCTTCAAAATAATTGGTGGGGGAAGAATAGATTGGGGTATAGATGATATAAATTCATTCACAATTTGATCATTGTTTAAACTAAAAGTTTAAAAGTTTATTACACTTTCTCTCTACTTTGAAACATGGAAAATGTTTCAAATTTTCCATGAAGTGTTTAAACAAATTTAGGTAACTTTAATGTGCAATTGAGAACCATTGAACTAGTCCACTGAAGAAGGCTGGCAGTGGAAGCAATGTAGGCTCCACTGCCACTGTTTCTATCAGTTACTTTGATGATTTAGTATTTTCAGTTTAGAAGTTGAAAGCTACAAACTATTAATATGCCTAGCTTTGGAAGGAAGCCCTTCCACATATGACAGGACATTTCTGTGGTAGGCATGAGTGCAGCTGACTAGCAGAAAGATTGTTTACTCCAAGGTAAATAGTCAGCAAAATCATCAGGAAAAGAGACAAAACAATTAGAACTATAGTTTGAAAATGTTCAAATAAAACATTGAGGGAAGAAGTAAAGAAAGTAGATTGAGAACTACAAAATTTTAGATTTGGAAGAGACTTTAGGAATTATCTGAACTGATTTTCTTATTTCACAAACGGCAAGACTGAGGTAAGAGTAAGAATGATCCAAAAGAGGCTCCATTTCAGATAGAGCAACTTGGCTTTTATTCAGGACACTGATTACTGCGGTCACAGTTTGACAAATACACTATACTTAAATCCTGAGTCATCAATGTAGGAAAAGGGTAAAAATACAATGAGGTCGATCACCTTGAGAAAGTTCTGAAGAAGTAAATTCAGATGGCTGGGTAGACAGCCCAAATGATGAGGAAGTAGTCCTGAAGTGGGAGAAGGAAAAAGGAATGGAGAAGAAATACCAAGAAATGGTCCTTTCAATCACCCTCGCTTCTCTTTCTGTGATTATGTTCTCAATTGGGATCCAAGAAAACAAACAGAATCCAAAATCATGTGCTACCAACGAGGCAAATCATTCTCTATATACTTTCTAAAACCCAAGTTGGGTGCGAAGGGATGAAGTGACAAGAAACATCAAACACACCCCAATCTCCTCAATCTCTCCATTTTTCTACTTCATCCCAGTTGGACTACCTGGAGGAATTAATTTAATGCTGACAGCTCTAAAAGTGATGAGAAACATTCAGATGGTAATCACATTGTTGTTAGCTCCATCTATCCTTTCTTTAGGGTGAATACAAGTTGCCACTTTCCTGAAAGTCTTTGGAATTGAGAGCAAGGTCTTCAGGGCAGCTGTGGGTTGTCAGTTTTCAGCCATGTAACATTATGAAGTACTACTGAGAAGTGGAGAAATCCTGGAATCATTTGCTCTCCCACTTGAGGAGCAGCTGAGTGTGAAAGAAGCACAAGCTCAGCCACAACTATAAAGTATGGGATGAAAACGGAGCAGTCAGCGAAATGATGTCCTTTATTGTCCCCAAGATTAGGAGAAAGTATTCAAATAAGCAAGTGGTTGCTGCTCACTGCCATGCCAAAGGGGAAGAGGATCAGAAGTGCTGAGCTCCCAGTGGAGCAAAAAGGATACTGATACGTAGAAGTTGTCAGGAAAAAGAAATTCATTTAACCACCTCAGGGCAAATCTGAGACACTGCCGCCTACGGATAGCAACTCAGGCAACCTACCCTCTGAAGTTTTCCACCAGGGTTATAACCTATAAATTCACCAATAGTCTAGAAGTGAGCACCTGTATTCGAAGGGGGGGGGGGGTCCACTGTCCCCATCCTAAAAATGTGGCCAACAGATTAGTCGGAAAACAAGAACTCCGCCTCTATCCTATCTTAAGGCAGCACCGCAAGAGAATTACCATCCAACATCTCGTCTCCAAAAAATCCCTTTAATTCAAAAAACTGTAACCCAAGTCAGTGTGATAAGAAAGAACCAAGAAAGGGAGGAGGAGCCCTGACACCCAGCCCACTGCAGCATCGCCACCAACTGAAGGCGTGGGGACGCTCACCTTGGAGTCCGGCAGGCTGAAGACGCTGGGGTCGTCAGTGCTCCCCACCATAATCTTGTGCTCCTTGCCTGGAGCATGGCCGCCGGCGCCCTCGGCGCGCGCAGCCTTGGCGCCGTGGCGCTCCCCGGCCACCCTGTCGCTGGTGGTGTTTCCCATGGCTGCAGCTCGAGTCGGAGGCCACCTGCCGTAGGGAACGACAAGGAGCGGGGAACACCCCAGTGGCAGCGTCAGGGGCGCCCCCGGCCCCGCCCCTGGGGACCCAGGCAAGGGAATCCCCGCCCCAGGGCAGCGGCGCCCCGGGGTCCCCTCCCTCCCTTGGCCTCCAGTAGTGCCCGAAACCCCCGACTCCCTCGCTGCCCGCTGTTCAGGAAACCCGCTTTCGGCGACTCTCCTGCATCCCCGCGTTCCCGGCCCAGGGACGCCCCCACCCCCAATCACCTCCCGCGATGCGTGCCCTCCTCCCCCAGCCACTGGCGCGACGCCTGCTCTACGGATAACGCCACCAATAAAGTTATTAAAGTTGAAGCCGCGCCCCAGCTAGCAGACCGTGTGTCCTCCTAAAATGGCTACAAAGCCAGTGGCGCGGGGCCGCCCGGCGCGCGTACCCTGCGGCCGCGCCGCCGCGGCACCCGGGGCCCGCCGGCCTCTCTAGCCGCCGTCGCCTCGATGGTGGGCGGCCGCGCGCAGCCTCCAGCGTCAGGCGGGGGCGCCAGCTGCACAGTTAGCGGCGCGCCGGGCTGACCGGCAAGCCTGGCGAGCCTGCTCCAGGAGCCGTTCGTGTGTTGACCACTGGGCGCTCACTGCGGATTAGATGGCCTCGGAATGACGCTGGGGGCGGCCTCCCTGTGCTCGGGTGCCGGGTGCTCGGGTACCCGGAGGAGCAGCGCTGCTTTCTTCCCGGCCCCCTCCCTGGCCTCAGGTTCACCAGAACGTTTTCTGGGCAGCGTCCTTGTGATAGGCGACCGGAGAGGTGGGTTCCTATAGAGAATAAGAAAACAGACCTCCCACTGACGGCAGAAGGAAGTAGTGGTTAATTGCTCCAGGTTAAAACTAAGTGCTGGGGGAGCAGTCAGCCCTACTGGGGCCCCTGGGAAGAAGGAGTGATTAGGAGAGAAATTTTAGTCTAAGGAGAAGATGGAGAAAGCTATTTTAGGCTAAGAAACAGCATATGCAATGAGCAATCCCAAAAGAAGTACAATTCAAGAAAGAGAGCAACAACAAAAACATCAGAAGGAACACTAAAAGCGGAAAAGGGCAGACAGTCCTCTGGTTGGGACAGATCCAGGTTTTTACGCATAATTAATGGAACTTATGGTATTTACTAATTCTTACTTTGTAATAGGTGTAATTATATGCATGTTTCATTCCCTACTAGGTAAAGAAACAAGATGTTAGTCAATGCCAGCATAATTTTTCCCTTTAGACTCATTGCTGTTGCACCAACGTTCTATCTTTCCTTCCAGAGGGAAGGAAATGAAGGAGGTAATAGGCAAAGTAAGTGGTGGAAGTTCTCTTGATGTTACCGTATCTCAGACATCATTGCCACTGGTCTCGGATCAGCCATTCTGCCTGATAGAGGAAAATAACAGAGAGCATGGGAGGCCTCACAGAACAATAAGCTTTTATGCACACTACTAAATGTATTCTACTTCCTCTGAGAGGTGAGGATGTGGGAATGGGGAAAGAGTATATTGGTGTTACAGAACTGGATGATAGGTTAGATTGGGCATCTGGAGGTTTACATTAATTACCATCTCCACTCTCCAGGTTCCATCCCCATTTGTGATCAGGGATGGGTATGACATCTCATCTTGGTGATTTACATTTCAAAAAACAATCTAATCTTTTTTATAAAGTTAAACATACATTTAAAATGCAGTTTAGTAATTTCACTCCTAGGTATTTATTCAACTGAAATAAAGACAAGTTCACACAATCTGTACACAAATGTTTGTACAAAACACATGTGGCTTTATTCATATCTCCCTCAAAATGCACACAACACAAATGTCCTTCACCTGGTGCATCAATAAACAAAATATAGTATAGGCATAAATGGAATACTAAGCAATAAAAAGGATTAAACTCTTGATACACACAATAATGTGGATGAATCTCAAAGGCATTATGAGACGTGAAAAAAGCCAGACTCTATTTATATGACATTCTTGAAAAAGCAAGACTTAGGGTTAGAAAATAGATCAGTGCTTTCCAGGAGTTGAGGGCGAGAGGAAGGGTTGACTACGATGGGACAGGAGGGAATGTTGGAGGGGTTATGAAACAGTTCTATGTCTTGATTGTAGTGGTGTTATGTGTCTGTCAAAACTTACAGAACTGTGTACTAAAAAGGGTGAGTTTTATTGTATGAAAATTATACCTCAATGAAAAAATTAAAACAATTTTATAGTGTTTTAAAAAGTAGCTTTAGCAAGAGGAAAGATACAAGTTTATACACAAGACACTACTCAACCATTGCGGAAACTATTTTTGAAAACAAATACCATTGATTTTATTTTTAATTTTTTCTACGTTTATTGAGGTATAATTGACAAATAAAATTATATATATTTAAAGTGTACAATGTGATGATTTAATAAACACTGTGAAATGATTACCACAATCAAGTTAATTAATACATTTATCATTTCAAATAGTTACCTTTTTGTGTGTGGTGAAAACGCTTAAGATTTACCCTCTTAGCAAATTTCAACTATACAATACAGTATTATTAACTATAGTCACCGTGCTATACATTAGATCCTCAGAACTTATTCATCTTATAACTGAAAGTTCATACCCTTTGACTAACATCTCCCCATTTCCCCCACCTCCCAACTCTTAGCAACCATCATTCTACCCTCTGTTTCTCTGAGATCAACTTTATTTTAAATTCCATATATAAGTAATACCATACATTTGTCTTTCTCTGACTTATTTCACTTAGCATAATGCCCTCAAGATCCTTCCATCATGTCTCAAATGGCAGGATTTTATTCTTTCTCATGGCTGAATAATATTCCATTGTATCTTTATCCATTCATCTCTAGCCAGACACTTAGGTTGTTTCCATATCTTGACTATTGTGAATAATGATGCAATAAACATGGGAGTGCAGAAATCTCTTCGAGATTCTGATTTCATTTCCTTTGAATAAATACCCAGAAGTGAGATTGCTGGATCATGTGATAATTCTATTTTTAATTTTTTGAGGAGCCTCCATACTTGTTGGTATATTCCCACCAACAGTGTACAAGAATTCCCTTTTTTCCACATCCTCGCTAACACTTTTCTTTTTGATAATAGCCATTCTTATGGGAGTGAGGTGATATCTGTTCGTGGGGTTTTTTTTGTGTGTTTTTTTTTTTTTTTGTGAGGAGGACTAGCCCTGAGCTAACATCAGATGCCAATCCTCCCCTTTTTTCTTGAGGAAGATTGGCCCTGGGCTAACATCCATCCCCATCTTCCTCTACTTTATATGGGACGCCGCCACAGCATGGCTTAACAAGCTGTGCATCGGTGTGTGCCTGGGATCCAAACCTGCGAACCCTGGGCCGCCGAAGCCGAGCACGCGCGCTTAACCACTGCGCCACCAGGCTGGCCCCTCTTTGTGGTTTTGATTTGTATTTCCCTAATAGTTAGTGATGTTGAGCATCTTTTCATGTGCCTCTTGGCCATCTATATGTCTTTGGAAAAATGTCTATTCAGATCCTCCACCCCTTTTTTTTGTAATCAAATAGCTTGATTTTTGTTATTGACTTGTGTGAGTTCTTTATACATTTTGGATATTAACTCCTTATTATATATATGATTTGCAAATATTTTCTCCCATTCAATAAGTTGCCTTTTCATTTTATTGATGGTTTCATTTACTATGCAGAAGCTTTTTAGCTTGATATAGTCTCATTTGTTTATTTTTGCTTTTGTTGCCCTTACCTTTGGAATCAAGTCCAAAAAAGCATCATCTAGACCAGTGTCAATGAGCTTACTGCATATGTTTTCTCCTAGGAGATTTATGGTTTCAGGTCTTACGTTCAAGTCTTGAATACATTTCAAAGTAATTTCTGTGTGTAGTATAAGATAGTGGTCCTGTTTCATTCTTTTGCATGTGGCTGTTCAGTTTTCTCAACACCATTTATTGAAGAGACTGTCCTTTACCCATGTATATTCCTGCCACTTTTGTCATAAATTAATTGATCACATATGCATGGGTTTATTTCTGGGCTCTCTTCTGTTCCATTGATCTGTTTGTCTGTTTTTATGCCAGTACCATACTGTTTTGATTACTATAGCTTTGTAATATGGTTTGAAATCAGGGAGCATGATGTCTCCAGCTTTATTCTTCTTTCTCAAGATTGCTTTGGCTATTTGGGATCTTTTGTGGTCCCATACAAATTTTAGGATTGTTTGTTCTGTTTCTGTGAAAAATGCCAATGGAGTTTTGATAGGGATTGCATTGAATCTGTAGATTGCTTTGGGTAATATAGACATTTTAACAATATTAATGCTTCCAATCCATGAGCATGGAATATCTTTCCATTTATTTGTGTCTTCTTCAATTTCTTTCATCAGTGTCTTATAGTTTTCAGTGTACAAGTCTTTCACCTCCTTGGTTAAATCTATTCCTAGGTATTTCATTCTTTTTGATGCAATAGTAAATGGGATTGTTTGCTTAATTTCTCTGATAGTTTGTTAGTATATAAAAACACAACAGATTTTTGTATATTGACTTTGTATCCTGCAACTTTACTAAATTCATTTATTAGTTCTAATAGATTTTTGGTGGAGTCTTCAGGATTTTCTGTATATAAAATCATATCATCCACAGATAATGATAGTTTTACTTCTTCCTTTCCAATTTGGATGCCTTTTGTTTCTTTTTCCTGACTAATTGCTCTGGCTAGGACTTTGTACCATACTGCTTTGATTACTATAGCTTTGTAATATAGTTTGAAATGAAGAAGTGTAATACCTCCAGCTTTGTTCTTTCTCAAGATTTCTTTGGCTATTCAGGATCTTTCATGGTTTTTTATTTTTTATTGTTTTTTAATAGTTTTTATACAGGCTGAGAAGTGGTAGTGAAGTTCTTACATTCTGCCCACCCAAAGGAAAAGGGACCAGGGTCCAGCCCAGTGGCATAGTGGTTAAATTCACGCACTCTGCTTTGGCGGCCTGGGGTTCCCGGGTTTGCAGGTTTGGGTCCCGGGCACGGACCTGTACACCACTCATCAAGCCATGCTGTGGCAGCGTCCCATATATAAAGTAGAGGAAGATTGGCACAGGTGTTAGCTCAGTGACAATCTTCCTCAAGCACAAATAGGAGGATTGGCAACAGATGTTAGCTCAGGGCCAATCCTCCTCGCCAAAAAAAAAAAAAAAAAAAGGAAGAGGGACTAAATTCAAGGGTCCAGAATTTTCCCCACATATTATCATAATTCTGTCTTTCATATTCCAAAGGATTTGCATATGAATTGTATCATGTTATACTCAAAACCACCCTGTAAGGGTAGGAGGAACAGATAATCATATCTCATTTTATAAATGAGGCTTAGCTTAAATATTTAGCCAGTATTTCCTGAAATGATATGTATAGTCCATTTATTTTAACAAACTTTGATGGCAGAACTGGTACTTGCTGGACCTATGTTAAGCAGCCCCTGCTCTGGAGTTGCTCACAATCTTGAAATCTCCAGGGAAACCACTATAACTCCAAATAGGTATGACCCCAAACCTGACACTTATAGATACATAAGTGTCTATAGTGACACTTATAACCTAACATTCACTGAAAATGTCTTTCTCCAAAATTATAGACTTACATTATTGGAAGAATTAGTATCTCAATTAGTATCTTAGTTAATATGCATTAATTGAGCACCTAGTATATATACAGCATCACCACATGAATATCGATTTGGTGCAAATAGATTGCTAACTGTAAATTGTTTGACTTAAGGCAAGTATCTTTATCTTTCTGATTATAAATTTTCTCATATGTAAAGTGAGAGGATTATGCATGTGATCACTAAATCCTAGATTAGAGTTGAAGACATCAGTATGAATTCATGTTTAGCTTAATATAGATACAGATGGATAAATATAGAAATAATTATAAATATGTGTGTATTCATGGGTTAGTATACACACACATATTTCCAAGCTCTGTGCTCTGAAGGGCATAGAAGCAATGACACTCCAGTAGCAACAAGCACACTAGCACCCAGTTTTTAGTTTCTGATACCATTCTCTAATAACTGGAACCAGGACTACTGGGAGAAATGGCTGCTTCTAGGCCTGGGACAGGGAATACACAAGATGAGTCTGGAGCATCTTGTAGTGCCAGAAAGTGAAGAAGTACTTAAAAAAAAAACCAAAGGGGGTATGTCAAAGGGACACGGGAACCAATGAAACAGCTCCTAATGGCTAAAGCTGGAATAATTTGAGCAATAAAATAAATAATGCAATATTGGATTATAACCCAACTTACAAATAAATATCCATGAGTCCATACTGATATAAATAAATGATTGAATAAACAAATAAACGGGGGAGATGGAGCATAATTCCCCACTCTTTAAGTGTGGTCTGAGCATAATAACTTCCTTCCAAAGAGTATAGGATGGAAAGGGGGAAAAAAATAAATTTACAGTGGAGAAAGCTGACAAATACTACCTCAGGTGATCAAGTTTAACATTATTAGTGATAAGTTATTAACAGGTTGTACCCTTGATATGTGATGAGAATGACACTTTACCTGTGTGGTCTTCCTCCTGAAAATCCATAGCCCCAGGCTAATCATGAGAAAAAATATCAGACAATCACAAATCAAGGGATAGTCAACAAAATACTTAACCAGTTCTCCTCAAAACCATGCAGATCATCAAAAACAAGGAAAGTCTGAGAAACTGGCACAGTCTAGATGAGAAATAATGTGGTTTCCTGAGTGGCATCCTGTGGCAGAAATAGAACATTAGGTATAAACTAAAAAAATCAGAATAAAGTATGAAACTTGGTTCTTTTAAAAAGTGTCAAGGTCCTGAAAGACAACAAAACACTGAGGAACTGACAAAGATTAGAGGAGATTAAGGGTACATAACAACTAAACGCAATACATGGGATCCTAGAGTTGTTCATGGAACAGAAAAAGGAAATTATGGGAAAAGTGGTGAAATTTGAATAAGGTCTATGGTTTAGTTAATAGTATTGTGTCAGTGTTCCTTGTTTTGATAATTGTTGTACATGATGTTATGTGAAGTGTTATCTTTAGGGAGCATGAGTAAAGGGTGTACAGGAACTCTGTATTATTTTTGCAACTTTTCTGAAAGACTGAAATAAGTTCAAAATAAGTTAAAAATATTACTAAAGTAATCAGAATAATAAAAGATATGAGGAGGTCCAGTGCCATAATTTACAGTCAAAAGACTCTTCAAATGAGAGAATCTGCACCCAAGGAATAGAGAAAAAAGAATGCTCTGAAGAGACCTTTAAAATAAGTTTATTTAAAATCCTCAGGGAAGGGAAGATGCTGGTTTGAATATACCCCAGCTCCACAGCATTCCTCACTCCAGCCCAATTTTCGTGAGTCAACAGCTGCTAATAGTACAGTAAAGACCTCAGGATCAGGGAAAGCAGGTACCGGTCCTCCTCATCTTTTGGCTAAATCAGTAGTTATCAAAATGGTTCTCAATGATGCAAATGTGGAAGATCAAAATTGGCCACCCTGAAATATGTCTCTTTACCTTGATTATTTTCTCTGACAGACATTTGACCTCCCCCACTAACTGCCTAAAGGAATTTAACTCTGGGTATGGACAGACTGGCAGGGTCCTCACTAAGCCCATTCTCATCCAAGTTCTGTTTCTAAACATTTACATTTGTAAAGGTATCTCCCTCTCTGTCCTGGGAAGAGGGGGGATGGCCTTATCTCTGGAAACTCTTTTCAGTTTGGAAGGAGAGGACTTAAATCTACATACTCTTATTTACTGTGCTTTTCTGGTAATATCCCATAACTGACTCCCTCCACCCCCAACATCCTCCTTTGTCTTTAGCTGAAGATAGTATTTAAGATGAGAAACTCTGCCATTTTGTTGAGAAACTCAGTTTCCCTGGTTTCTCCCATGTGTACATGTTATTAAACTTGGTATTATTTTCTCCTGCTAACCTGTCTTTTAATTATTTGGCCAGCCATAAGAGCCTTAAGGGGTGGAAGGGGATTGTTCCTCTTCCCCAACACAAACATACATCAGAATTACCTAAAGGGCTTATTTAAACACAGATCACTAGGCCATGTGCTCAGAGGTTCTGATTCAGTAAGTCTGGGGTGGCATCTGAGAATTTCTGTCAAGTTCCAGATGCTGCTGATGTTTTTGGTTCAAGGACCACAATTTGAGAAATGCTGGACTAGGCAAGAGCCTAGAGACCAGTATTGGAGACCCCTGATAAAAGGCAGTGTGCAGAAAAAGAGTTAGCTGACTCTTACAACTGTAATAATGCTTCCCATACCCCAAAAATAAAATAAAGAATTACAACCAACCAGGATGTGGGGGAACAAATCTCCTATGTAGAAGAATTCCAAATAATTTATGTAGATACTGCCCCTTTAAGAAGGTGGAGCAGGGGCCGGCCCCATAGTGAAGCAGTTAAGTGAGCGCCTCCGCTGCTGGCGGCCCGGTTCGGATCCCAGGCGCACATTGAGGCACCACTTGTCAGGCCATGCTGTGGCGGCATCCCATATAAAGTGGAGAAAGATAGGCACAGATGTTAGCCCAAGGCCAGTCTTCCTCAGAAAAAAAAAAAAAAAAGGTGGAGCATAACTCCAGG